TATGATATATACAGAGCTTCTTAGGCTCTTACTGATTGATTTCTTTAAAGCGATACCTATTTCAGCATCAACATGCATTTTTGAACGGACCTTGATTGAAATTCAGATAATGTAAATAATGTGTAGCATCAGGAATCGATCCCACGACCTGGAAATGATCAAGAGCTGAACAGGCATCCTTTACGTCTTTCATAAGGCGAGACTAATTAATGGTCAGATGACAACAACCAACCGACAGTTGGTTCGGTCATCTGCAAGGAAGTACCCAAGCCCTGGTGGCTACTTAATCGTTGTTGAGGGGATCCAACCTCAGGTAACAGAGGATCGACGGCCAGCACTTGATAAAACAGAAAATTATTAATGAGTCATGTGCCCTTCGCCGACGCAGTAGAAACTCAGTATCAAAATCCGGCATGTTAAGGCGAATTAACCTCATCATGTCATTAAGTAGCCTGCAGTCCTACAGAGTGGCTGCAGGTGATTATGCTGTTACAGCAACATAATAAACAACTGGGTCCTGTACTGGTGAAGTGGATGACACGTGAAAAATGAAAAACCATTGATCGTCGAGGATCATCGTTCTCAAAAATTGTCCACTTGGTTTGTATTTGACCCTTCATGATCGTTGCATTGCTTCGCTGAATATCTTCGTATTTAACAGTTTTCTGCCTTTAGGACGACGGTGTACACAATTTTAGACATGGCATTCATCGAACATCCAAGATACGAAGTCTTATACAGGAGCTCGGATAATCCAAGCAGTGAGTGAATTGTACCTTTCATTTTTTACTTCAGCGAAACGAAGCGCTGTTTGACTCAAACTATCTCTTACTTTCTTTTTGTAAATATATTGAAGCTTTCTTATATTTACTTTTTTGAACGAATAGTTCTTTCATGAATAACCATGTACAGAACTTCTAATTCGAAGTCATCCTCCTTGATGAAAGTCAGGAAACTTCTGCAGTGCGCCTATGCTTACTGCATTTTGGAGTTATGAGATGATGATGTTCAAACAAGTGCCTAGCACCGATATTAGTGTATACGCAGCACAAATAATTTGATACTCCAGCAAAGGGCTTAAGGTTCATTTGGCTGAAGGTAGTTTCAGGCAGTATGTTTGTCGTTCAAGTAATGAAAAGCGAGGTAAATTCCTGGGCTACACTAGCAATTTCTATGCAGTAAAAATCATTTTCGATATGTAAAATATTTTTGGGAATTACACTTTGTGCCGATTAGCACACTGGATTGCTGACTGTTAGGTTGGTCAAGACGAAATGCAGGTATGTGGAGAGCTCGCCTGCTATAGCATCACCTACATTTTGTCGATTCTGGTGTCACCGCAGCCGAATTCTAGACTACCCTGTTATTCACAGGTAAACGATTTGCACCAATTTTTCAGCTGGTTGCACGGAAGCGACACGAGATAGATTCCTTACTCAGAGGAATTCACGGTTAAACCATAGACCGTCCTTCTCCGGATTCAAATCCGTTACCCACGGAGTTTGAAGTCGACCTTTTTGCCACCGTACCACCACGTCCCAATAACAATGGCATGTTTTTCTAAGGCGAAGAAATAAACGTCATTGATGATTTCTGACCCATTCGGGAGAATACATAAATTTCGTTTTCGTTACTGTAGCATACCCCATCAAGCCATCTCTAGCGCAGAGTTGAAAGTTCACTGTTTCATTTAATCGGTTTGACCGTGTTACTGCAACAACTCCTGACTCCTAAATGCACAGAAGGTAATTGAAACAAGCCATGGACTTATTGCATTTTTTGAGTTCTTCGATTCATTTTGTTTAAGACCAGAGAAAAACAAGGACAATTTTTCCTACGGATGGTTTAGCTCACAGTCATTGTGTTTTTTGTGCGCTTCTTTGCTTGACAGTTGCGATAGTCGGTCTTATTATTATAATTTCTTGGCAACTAGCAGCTCTAATTAATGATTTAGTAGTTGTGTTTATCTTTAGAAAACCGAATAGTTGAATTCGAGGACTCCATCGAAGTCAACGGCATCGTGTTTAACAAACCATTTGTAGAAAAGCCGGTTTCAGCCGAAGATCATAACATTTATATTTATTACCCATCATCAGCCGGTGGCGGTTCACAAAGACTCTTTCGTAAGGTTAGTATATTTTTCGTTTCGTTAAGTACTTGACTTTAAAACTTAGCTTTCCATCGGTTTATATAACGTTTCAGATAGATAATCGGAGCAGCATTTACTCGCCAGAGAGTAGAGTTCGGACCGAGTCATCGTATATTTACGAAGACTTCATGCCAACCGATGGAACTGATGTAAAAGTAGGCGGTTATATCAGCTTTTTCATGGCTATGTATAATCGATTTTGAGGTGTACGCAGTGGGACCGGACTACGCCCATGCGGAAGCAAGAAAGTCCCCGGCGTTAGATGGAAAGGTAGAGAGAGACTCGGAAGGAAAAGAAGTACGCTATCCCGTAATTCTTAGCAGCAAGGAGAAACACATTGCTCGAAAAATCGTCTGCGCATTTCGGGTATGTTAATTCATTTTTTTACTACCTGACCATCAGCAGTTGGTTACAGAAATTTGTTAGTCGTTAGAAATCGTTTGATTTTCTCGTGTATCAGGTTGTGTGAGTACAGATAGTTCCCAAGTTACGATCATTCGATTTACGATTTTTCGATCTTACGATACCAGTTGCGATACAAAAAAATTCGAAAAATATTTCTGATTTCATAAGAAGGACAACTGAACGCAAGCGTGTGCCATGTGATCGTTTGGGTACTCTTAGGAGGCTGCAGACGGCAGCATCGCATCACTTGATGCGTGATCTGCCTCACTCTTCAGCGATCTAACCCTTAGTGAGATTGTTTTCAAGAAATGTTTAGCCTTGATGTTTTTTTTGCTTACAGATTGTGCTTTTTTCTCTAAGAATGGTTCCCAAACGCGCTAATGTTTTTCCTTTTGGTAGTGAGAAGAAGACGAGAAAAGCTATTACCTGGGAAGATAAAATGAAGATGATAAACCAGCGGGAAGGAGGGAAACCAGTCGCAGCCACAGCACGTGATTTTCAGTTATCCCAGTCAACGGTATCAATTATTCTCAAAGGCAAAAAGTGGGTCATAGAAGCTATCAGAGGTGTTGCATCTGTACATTCCACCGTAATATCGAAAAAGAGATCTGCCATATACAATGTTATTGATTTGCAGTATATTAAAATGTACTAAAATTTATTGCTGCAGAGCATATTGCATATGTATGTACTGTACTGTAATGCAGTTTCAAAGGTTTATTAATTACCTCTACAGTGAACTATGGTACAGGTACTCTATTATATTTATTGTTTTACAAATTATAAGGTATGGGGTTTGCTAAATTTAACATGAAACTGTGTAGTACATTATGCTATGACACGATACATAACAGTATAACTGTGTCATACGTTACATTGTCTTCGTCTATGTCCTATACGAAGGTCGTCCGCTACTTACGATTTTTGTCTTACGATGCGATTATCGGAACGTAACCCCATCGTAAGTCGAACACCACCTGTACTGTGAATGTGACCATTTCAGAGAACGTGATTGTATGATGTGCTAAAAGTAATAAATAGATGTGATATCATTCATAGTTCAGGGACACTATACCCAATGACTCGAAAATGAAGCATGATTTCCAACTAATGGAATATTTAGTTCATGCGATGGCAGTTATAGTAAGGAACAGGATAAAACACGGTTTTCTTTATGCACAACTCAGAAAAGTTGGTCACTCGGATGACTGGTTGGTACCAATGTGTTGGCCCGTGTCTCGCACTTTAACCAATGCTGCTAACCATAGAATTACAAGAAGTATCGCTTTTAGAGGTCCATAGCACCGTAATTTATGAGTTCAAGAAGTTGTTTATAGTAAAATGTTAGCGTACTTTGAGTTTTACTTAACGTAAAACAACAATATTTGACTGTTTATTGCATTTTTGTTTAGTTTTCCGAGTGTTAAGTTCAAGAATTGTTTGTGTTAATACGCAATCCCCATGGCATAGACTAACTGAAGCAAGGAACCGCGTTTGCGTTGAGATGTGATTA